TATTTTGAAGTCAGGCTCTGTTGGACATATTTATTGTGATGTTGTATATGATGTGCAATGCACATAAAGCTGTGATAGGGTGTATTTTTCCCAATGAAGGAAAACAACATTTCTATTCTCAAGTGCTGTAATACCTCTAACTTCTCTTTTCTTCTCTCTCATTACAATTTTTTTTACATGTTCAGCAACTCATTTGTCCCCTTTGCAACAGACAGAAGGATGAGTATCTTGTAATTCTGTCAACTACTTTCCTCCTCCAGTTACTCTCCATGAATTTGCATCCAAACAACCTTCCTAAGTGGGCATAACACCATGAGTGAATGGATCACTCCAAACTCTGATCTCTTCCTGCCTTCTGCTGTACAAACATGCAAAAGGAATTATCAGTGTTAATTATCTCTAGCTATCTCTAGTGAATTTTAATGATCCAAAGGCAATAGTTTTAAACAATTCTTTTGAAACCTACTCATTCAGAAAAGTTCTTACCCCTCATTTGCTTTTGTTTTTATCATAAACAAATACCTTAAATGGATTGTGGATAAAAAAAAGCTGGGGGTAAAATGAACCAAAAATGGAAAGTTATAGACACAGTTATAACAGTACAGAAGTTTTAGAGTGAAATTTGGCTGGTACTCCCTGGATGGAAAGTGGCCAACATGCCCAACTTCCCCCACACAATACATGCTGAGGGGTGGAGCAGAGTGGAGACACCATGGCCAGGCTCTGTTGAAATCCTTGCAGAGATGTGAACTCCATGCTACCTTTTAGCTCATAAGCCACAGAGCAGCTGTGAACCAAGGGAGCTTATGAACCCTGAACCAAGGGAGATAAAAGCACCACTGATGCACATCTCCATCCCAAAGTTACCTGCCTTCACCGTACAACCACACCTCACTGAGCATTATGTGTGACTAGAGTCACTCAAGCTGCATGTGATCAAAAAGAAACAGAATAAAAGTGACTTAGGAGTGGGTGGAAGTCAGACTAGACTCCATCATAACTTCTGGGATCGAGCTGAATTTGTCTTCTCCCTCACAGGGCTGCCTGCTGGGTAAGAACCATCCTCTAGGAGCACTGAATGATTACCTGGAGTGAGCTTTTGTTAGGGATGAGAGCTATTCAAAGCTGTGTATTGCTTTGAATACATTTTTGCAATCAGATACTGCCACCAGCAATTCTCAAACTGTCACAGTGTTATTAATAATGAGCATTCCATGAGCCATCAGTGTGAGTCCTTCAAGGGAGTTAGCAGTTGTTGGCAGGGGGAAAAAACTCAAATGAAAGCATGGAGACCCAGGGAGGGGAGATCTTTTCTATTCTGTGTGTGTCTCTGAACAAGTCAGTCAAACTACTCTCCTATTCAGGGGACTGCTCACTGAAGTGTCCCCAAAAGGGGATGATGACAGGCTGGTTGGGCACAAGGAGCTTGGCTTACCTGGGGTGATGACAGACTGATCAAACACAAAAGGTTTGGAGAAATCTCCCTCTTCACATGACATGGATCAAAATGTGCACTGTCTCTCCTTTTCTTGTACTGCTTAACTAAGTCCACAGAGATAACTGTGAGGGAGAGTTAGCATATAAAACAATCCATCCTTATTTTCAGAATATTTCAATTAGCTAAACTGTTTCATGTACCATACTGGTAGTTCCATCTGGATAATGATTCAATAGAATTAAATATATTTTTATAGAAATCCCTGGATTAATAAAAATGGGGACTAAAAACAACCCTTGACTTTAAGCAGCCCATCTCAGATGAGAAAAGACAGTTCTGTTTCTTTACATTTCAACAAAACCTGAAAACTTGCATCTTGAAACACTTCATTATTCTTTTCAGAAGAAGCAGTATCTTTGATTCCTGATTCAGTTTGACACTCAGCCTTTCATCCCTTATTCCCCAAGGCTTGCCTCAGAAAGATTAAGAGAATATTTTCCCATTGTAGTAATGACCAGCATAGCATGAGACAAAATTCTCAGCCATAATTAAATATCAGGCTGGGGCTTGGGGTCTAGTAAATTTACCTGTTTTAATTGTTTCTGTGACCTAAGGTACCTCCTGTTTCTACTTCTGTTTCTTTAACAACATTGCTCTGCATGAATCATGGAATTTATAGGGTTGAGAGGAGTCTCTGGAGATCATCTGGTTCAACCCCTCTGACAAGGCAGGGTCACTCAGAGCAGGTGACAGAAGAATGTGTCCAGGTGGGTTTGAATGTCCCCAGAGAGGGAAAATCCATGACCTCCCTGGGCTGCCTCTTCCAGAGCTCTGCCACCCTCTATGTCAAAAAGTTCTTCCTCTTGTTGTGGTAGAACTTCTTGTGTTTTATTTCATGCCATTGTCCCTCATCCTGTTTTTGGGCACAGCTAAAAAGAGTCTGGGACCACGCTCTTGACAAGCACCTTTGAGACATTTATATGCATTGATGAGATCCCCTCTCAGTCTTCTCTTCTATAGACTAAAAAAAAAAAAAAAACATATATATATATATATATATATAAAATAAAACTATATAAACCTTTTTAATCCCTTTTATTGCACCCTGGAAATCCTAGGCTGGTGTCAAAATGTGCAATAAAATTCTGTTATTAAATAATTTCAGAGCTGAGGATCCAGCTTTCTGAAGTGAGGCTGCTGCTGTTCTGGAGGTTTAAAAAAAGGTTGCACTAACCTGCAGGAAGTATGTAAGAACACTAATTTTTAAATTATGAAAATCCATAAAGGCTATTGAAAATGGAAATTTTATTCACACTCAAAGTCAATTTATGCTCTGAGTTAATAATAAAATCCAAAATCTGAAGAGTCTTCTGATGTTATAAGTACCCTTTAGATATTTTTGTATATCCTGTGGAGGGGAAATCTATTTTTTAATATAGGTGCTCAGCAAAATAACACTGTTAAAGAACATAGCTGCAGTGGCACAGGTCTTCTGAGCTATTCTTTACTCTTCTCATACCAGCCTAACCCTATTGACATGCAAGTCATTAAAGCAAAATTCACACCCCTGTTCTTGGCCTATGCATCACTTAAGTTCCACTTAAACCCCCAAACCAGAGCTTTAAAAGGATTTATGAGGTGTGCAGCCTTATGAGCCTTCCAGGCTGGCAGGTGAATGTCACCACTAATTTGCTTTACCTCTAGAAATGCTTACAGCAAAGTTTCAGTAACTTCAGTTCTTGTCTTCCTTGAAACAGGTTCAGCAAAGCTTGGCAGGACTCTTGTGCTCCTGTCTGTTCTTGATCTTATTTCTGGACTCTGGCATGAAACAACATTTTAAGTTTTATAAATATAAAGCTTCATAAAAAATTAAGACCAAAAAGAGCTACAGGTAATTTTTTAACTTAGTTAAATAGAATATGAATAAAACATAATTTGTGGGTACTTCTTTTACTATCATACTCTTTAGCTTCCAAAGAAAAAAATAATCTAAATGTTTTTTAAAATGACTAATTAGATTGTACATCATGCTTCTATATTGTTTAGTCAGAATTTGTGATAGTATCTTATGCAGTCTTAGATGATCATTTTATGATGCTCATAAATCATAAGAAAGCCCATAGATGATAATTTTATCCTTCCTTTACATCTGCAAAGGTTGCAAACTTTCAAACTAATTTTATTGTGCTTTTCATATATTACATTTCTCTAAGTTCTTTTTTGTTTAAATACATCGTTATCCTTGGATTCTGTCTTCCTTATTTCATACAAGACATGAGTAGTCTGATGGGTACTCACGTCCTGTTTTGCAAGGGTAGGATAAACAAATACTTTTGAAATCTGATTTGTCTAATTTAATGTGTCTCATCCTGAATGTGACCTGACCTATGTAACTAAAGAGTATTTAGTGACCTATGTCACTAAATACCAATATGTAACACCTGTTTGGATCATGCAATTTTGAACTGGCATATTTTCATCTGGCAAACTGTGAACTTTTTATCCACAAGATTATTTATCCAAAGTCAATCAGTTTTTCCCTTTAGAAAATAATTAACTTTTAAAAATTAGTCCAAATAATTATTTCACAGGAAAAATTGAAAAAAAAAAAATTTTTTTTTACCTTTATGGTAAGGAGCTGTTCTGCACCTTAGGTAGTTCCTTGGGGTCATTAGATCAATCTGTCAATGCAGTTATCAGTAACATGAATCAGAACCTGGCACTATCTAAGTGTGTCTATCTTTCTACAGGATATTTTTTGTGGACCTCTCTGCAAAAAACCAACTTCCACTGATAGAGTTTCCTCTTTTTTCAGTATTCAGTCTTTCAAGAGCATGTGTGATGCCAATAATCACTGGTTTCCAAACAACCTTAATGTCAAACCACTCTACTATTTACTTTCATCTCTTTCTAATGAAATAGCATCTGCAACAAGAAAGAGGATATTTCAGAGCTCCTTCTCTGAAAATATGATATTTATTGAGAGAGATTGAAAAAGGTAATTTAATTCCTTCTATTTTAATCACTGCTACTGGGGGTCTGGACCATATCAAGAGGGATTCTGACAGTTTAGGATTAGTGGGAGAAGGAAGGAGAAAAATCTATCAGCAGTGAATGATTGTATTTAAGGTTGACAATGATGAAATAGTAGAGGCCATAGTACAATTTCTGCTCCTTCATTTGTCTTTGTTGATAAAATGAGCACTGTCAGAGGTTCAAGCTCACAACAAATTTAACGTGACTCTGTTTATTCCTGCACTAAACAAGGTGCTCACATGATGAGATGAAAAATGCAAAATTCTGGGATAACCCTTCCTTCTGTTTAACAGAGACATGCAATTTTCTCACTTTATTTTTTTTCCCATTAAAGGAATGAAGATGGAAAATAGCTAAGATTTTTTCAGCAAGACATTTCATCCAACAGTATGACCTCTCCAAAAGTATTACAAAGGTATAATATAACCAGCCTTTGAACACCATTTTTTCCAGAATAGTCTTCAGCCCTTGTTAAAAATATATATATTCACAATTATTTCCCACCGTTTGACAGACTTCTCACCTTGTCATTCAAAGGTGCTTCTTCAAACTAAAGGTTGAAAGAAGTTTGCTGAGAAAAATGAAAAAGATAAATTGAGATGGAGCTGAAATTAGGCAAGCCTGTTGAAACCATTTATAGGATTGAACTCAGGACAGCTTCCTCATCATACAATCAGATTTTATTTTTTCTGTGCAAAAATGATTTGCCAAATATCATTTTATACAAAAATACATCATGGCTAAAAGATAGGCACCAAAAGGGTTGAAACACCAAACTATGTTCTATAAAACACATATATAAGAGCACATAGGGGATGCTATACACTTTCATTTTAAAAATAAGGATGTAAATCTAAATTTACAGTCCTTATCATATCTCCATGATATTCTGCAGGACTTCCTTGCTTTATGCTGATCAAACTACAGCACAAAGCTGATATGACAGACTATTCAATAACCCCAAATTCATATTTCATGCAATCAATGTTGTTTTTTCCCAGCATTTTTCAATACCAGAACATGATAAGAATACCACAGGTATTCTGCAGAACTTTGCAACTGCCCCTCAGGTGATTTCTGGATATCATTTCAGTCAGTAACTGGTTTCCATGTGGCAGTAGTAGTAGTAGCAGTATAGTAGTTCACTCATTGAGACTTTTCTGAACTCAAAGCCTCCTTTCTGCCTTTCAAGAGGGGTATAATACCATGGAATTTAAAGTTTAAAAGTTCCTTGATAAAAATGATATAATATAGATCATCACTTTTTATCATCAAAATTCCATTATATAAATTATTTACTTTTACAGCTTCTTTCTGGATGGGATTTCTGTAAATTCTAACTAAGTGTAACAGAGGTACAGGTGAGAAAAGAAGAATTAGAAAAAGTGCAGTTTTTTCTATTTTTTACATTACATTGATGTTAGGAGCCAAGGGATGAGAGAGATAGGGAATAAAATTTCTATTTTCAGGAACTTTACTGTTTCTCACACACGATAAACTTTATCTTAATATTTAAAAGCAAACATAAAAAAATCTGTGCTGTGCATCATCTACCCTTTGTAGGAAAACTCATCTTATTATCAATGATGAATAATGCCCTTTCTGTTTGCTACTGAAAACATAATATATTTTTAGCTTTTATATCTGATTTCTTAGAAATATTTTCAAGTGTCTTGTTAATGGATTAAACTTTGTCTTAAGTAGGAACAAAGTACCTTTTGAAGAGCCGTTTTCTAGATGCGTTTCTGGGTGGTGTTTTCTATCCCCACAACCCACTCATACAATACCTCAGATTATATTAATCTCTCATTACCTTTTCTTTTTAGTTGACCTGTGGGCCAATCCATTTTCCCATCTGCATTACTTGCTATGATATCCACCCAATTCATTTGGGAGGTATTAAATTAGATAACAAACCTAACTAATCTGTATCTCTTAAAAAAAAATATCCAGTACAAGTAGTTCATAAAGGAGTCTTCATAACTCTCTCTTAAAAAATAAAAAAAGCAATATTAAATCAAGACAAATCAGATAAGTAGTCTTTACATAATGAGGGAAACATATTTACTAATCTTTATCAGGAAGGTGAAAACCAAAGAATCAAATCAACACCACTAAGCAAACAAACAAACCTCCATCAAACCATTATTTATTACTCTTATTACTTCTGGTACCCTCTCAGCAGTAGTATTATTCCTTATGCAAGAAATACCATTCTTGTACTGCTTAGCTGGACAAGATTATTGGGAGATGAAAGTTTGAACAGAATAAAACTGTATACCCAACCACTGTGCTTCAATTCTAGCTCCCAGTTTTGGCTAACACAACCCACACCAACCGAGCAGGCTTTTCATTGTGGGCAGCTGGTCTGTGCTAAGTTAGCTTCACTCCAACACTGAACTGAGATACAGAAAGAATGATGTTTACCTACGTTCTTCAGAAGACAAAAGCTGCTTCACCTTTCATTCACCATTTATTTCATGGTAAAATACACAGTTGTGTGTGTGCTTATAATTACATATAGCAATATTCCTTTGATTCATATAGGCACGTCTGCAGAAGGAGATAAAGGACAGATATATAAACCATGTATACACACTCACATACATACTTTTATATATGTGTGTGTGTGTGTGTATAGGTATGTATCTATGTATATATATATGTATATATATGTGTATATATATATATATGTATGTATATATATATATATGTGTATGTGTATATATATATACATATATATATATATATATATATATATATGCTGGATTTGTAAGAGTAATCAATAAGTGATCTGCCAGTTAAAGGCTTACTTCCCAGCCTGAAGAGAAGGAAGCACAGGACAGCGTCAATGGAAACTAAAGGAGGAATTCCACACACTTTCCTAATTAGGTGGGTGTTACAAACAGCACCCAAGGAAGGCTCCAGAGGGTGGATCCATCCCGAGATTCCTACTCTCTCCCGCCCGGATGCGCCCCGCTATTCCTGCCAGGATCTACCCCTGGATTCCTGCCCAGATCCATCCCAGGATTCTCACCGGGATCCATCCTAGGATTCCCACCCGAGATCCATCCTGGGTTTCCTGCCCTGGTCCATCCCAGGATTCCCGCCGGGATCCCTCCCGGGATTCCCACCCGGATCTCTTCCGATATTCCCGCCCGGATCCATCCCGGTTTCCCGCCCGGCTCCATCCCGGTATTCTCTTCCGGCTCCATCCCAGTTTCCCGCCCGGATCCATCCCGGTTTCCCGCCCGGATCCATTCCCGGTATTCCCGCCCGGCTCCATCCCGGTATTCCCGCCCGGCTCCATCCCGGTATTCTCTTCCGGCTCCATCCCGGTTTCCCGCCCGGATCCATCCCGGTTTCCCGCCCGGCTCCATCCCGGTATTCTCTTCCGGCTCCATCCCGGATTCCCGCCCGGCTCCATCCCGGTTTCCCGCCCGGCTCCATCCCGGTTTCCCGCCCGGATCCATCCCGGTTTCCCGCCCGGCTCCATTCCCGGTATTCCCGCCCGGCTCCATTCCCGGGTTTCCCGCCCGGCTCCATCCCGGATTCCCGCCCGGATCCATCCCGGTATTCCCGCCCGGATCTATCCCGGTTTCCCGCCCGGCTCCATCCCGGTATTCCCGCCCGGCTCCATGCCGGTATTCTCTTCCAGCTCCATTCCCGGGTTTCCCGCCCGGCTCCATTCCCGGTATTCCCTCCCGGATCCATTCCCGGTTTCCCGCCCGGCTCCATCCCGGATTCCCGCCCGGCTCCATCCCGGATTCCCGCCCGGCTCCATCCCGGTTTCCCGCCCGGCTCCATCCCGGTTTCCCGCCCGGATCCATTCCCGGTTTCCCGCCCGGCTCCATCCCGGTTTCCCGCCCGGCTCCATCCCGGTTTCCCGCCCGGATCCATTCCCGGTATTCCCTCCCGGCTCCATCCCGGTTTCCCGCCCGGATCCATCCCGGATTCCCGCCCGGATCCATCCCGGTATTCCCGCCCGGATCCATCCCGGTTTCCCGCCCGGATCCATCCCGGTTTCCCGCCCGGATCCATCCCGGTTTCCCGCGCGGGCGCACAGCGCCCCCTGGCGGCCCCGCCGGGCCCCGGCCCCTCAGGCCCTGCCCGCCGCGAGTTGTTCTCCCTCAGGATAATAATTTTATTTAAAGTACCGGTCTAGGCAATATTTCTGCTTTTAGAGATGCCAGGTTTTCTGCTTTGTGTGTGTGATAAGTGTCCGTGCTGGCAAAGCCGTCGAATGGAGCGATTTACTTTTATCCATGTAGCACTGAAGGAAGCCCGCCGCCTGCCTCTTCTGTTCTCGTAGGAAGTTTAAAGAAGCCAAAAGAGCCTCAAGTTCACGTAAAATGATTTTGTGCTCCTAAAAGCTCTGGAACAGCAGGAGCAAGGAGCAGCTCCATCCCTGGATGATGAGCAAGATTCACCCCCTCAGCTCCTGAAACAATGGAAATAGAAATACCGTGTTCCCTTTGCCATCCCTACGTGAATACTGCTTAGAGAGACCTCAGACAAATATTCAGCATAACTGGAGCTCACCTGTCAACGTTAAACTCTGCAAGTTGTTTCATTTTATTTCCAGCATAATCAAAGGCGGTTTTTTTCTTCAGGGTGGATTGTCTTTCTCAGACTGTAAACTGCAGACAGCTTTTAATATGGTGTTTGAATTTTAAAAGCAAACACAAGATACAATCTCTGTTAAGCAACATCCTCTAAAGCAAATGCAAACCAACCAGAACAAACAGCTTCAGGCAAATTAGCAAAGTAAACAACAGAAAGCAAAGAGAACAAGAGAAGACTAGAGAGAGGCTGTATTGCACTTTCTTTGGAGGTCTTAAAGGGTTTGGCAACTCCCAGCTCCATCTGTCTGCAGGAAATCAGGTTTTTGCCACTGGCACGAGTATTAAAATTCTGCCATGGGACTGGGAAAGATGATGCTCCTGGTGCTTCGGAACTCTCTAATTAGTTTCTCTCCCGCCAAAGAACACAACATCAACATATTTTAGTGCAATAAGTAGTCTCAGACAATTTCTCAATCACTCCTCAGGATGTGACTGGAATTTAATCCACTGACATCAGCTCCCGAACTGTTGACTTCACTAGAGCTTCAGGGATCATCACTCGTGACCAGCCTGCACAGCCAGGGTGTTCTGTCTACTTTGCTGGTAGAGGTTTAACATTCTTTGAAGTAATTTAACTCCTTCCATAGATGTTAGCCTTGGTCTTCTGTTCTTACATGCTTACCTAGCAAATTATCTACTACTTAGATTTTGTCCTGAGGCTCTGAACTACCAATTAGTACTTTATTATTGCCATTTGTTTTTTTGGTTTTGTTTTCTTTTTTGTCCAAATAAAGATTTAAGCCAAGACAAAAAGCTTTTTCAAAAGGTAGACTGCCTTGCAAAGACATACTGTCAAAGCACATTTGTGAGTCAGACTGGATAATTCATGGGTTTTTGTTTGTCTCTGAAAACACTACTTCAGTTGAGAAGAATTGAGGTAACAAGATACACTGCCTCAATTCTCAATAAATTTTAACATAAAACCATTAGCTAAAAAAAACCCCAATCTTTAACAGGTACTGAAGAAAATGCTACTGACTGTACAAATTATATTTTAACAGATGGATTGCTACAGTAAGATGTAATTTTTTATGTGTGTTAATCTATGTGATACTATAGGTGACGATGGAATGTTCTTTAGCTCCAAGGGACATTCAGCATCTTTAGAAACACGAATCCTGTAACAAAAAGGTCCATTATTTTCTACTTTATGTATTTTCCTTTAAAATCTAATGATTTTCAGAAGTTGTTAGGGTTATGGGGTCAACAAACAGTGTAGGAGTCCATTAGATGTACGAGAAAGCAGAGCTATGAAAAGCACTCATGAGGAAGAGCATAAAAAACAATTACCCAACAAATGTTGGAAGTATTGTCATGTGTGGTTGTTGTTTCATAAAGCAGGGCACTCAGACAAGGAAAAGCATCCTCAGGCTCTGCCATGGCCTGTCAGGTAAATGTTTTAGGGCTGTGGGAGAAAGTTCAGTGTCTGAACACCAAAGACATCTATTTACAATCCAAATGCAGAAGTTTGTGAGAGCAGGACTATGCTACACCCACTATTTCATATTGCTGCTTTCCCTGGGCTCTGCAAGTTGGCCTTGGAGCTTGTGATGGTGATGCTTGGTGCTCTTCCTCACACCTGCAAATTGTTCCAGCTCTTTCCTATAGCTAAGCACTATCCTTTAATATAATTAGACTTACAAATTATTTCCCTGGTGGTGGTGGGTTGACCTTGGCCAGCTGCCAGATGCCAACCCAGCCACTTTCTCACCTCAGTCCTCAGCAGGATGAGGCAAGGGGAAATAAGACTGACAAGCTCATGGGTCAAGGTGAAGGCAGGGAGATCACTGTCATAGACAAAGCAGACTTGGCTTGAGGAAAAATAATTTGCTGATCTAATAATAGATTTGGATGGTGAGAAACAAAGTCAAAAATTAAAACTCCTCCACTGCTTTGTCCCAGCCTCACCTTCACTCCTTCATTGCTGATTCCTCAGACTGTCTCCCTGTGAGTGCTGTTGGGAGAATGGGGAATGGGGGCTGTGGTCAGTCCATGGCAGCTGCTCTCTGCCACTCCTTCCCCTTCACACTTCTCCCCTGTTCCAATGTGGATGCAGCGAGATTCCTGTTCTGCCATGGTCTCTGGAGGAGCTGCTGGATAACCCCTGCTCTGGGACCTGGGTCACCTCCCTTTCACCTCCCCCTCCTTCTCTTGGGGCCCACAGGGATGCTTCTCACACTTTTCCCCTTATTGCCACAGAGCATTTTGCCTTTCTGTCCCCACACTTTCCCTGAGGTTCACCCTACTGGCTGCCAGACTCAGCATTTCTCAATAGAAAGTGCTCCTTTTCAGAGAAGGAAAATCAAAATCAAAAAACGCTGCACTTTAATAATCTTTTCAGCAAGATCAAGTGTATCAGTAAGATTACTTTTTGTGAGACTAACTTTAGACATTTCCAAACTCAGACATGAGCAGTGTTCAACACATTTCCACCTCTGGAACCCCATGCAAGCTGAGCTGAGGAGCTGGATTACTGGTGAGGAGAATTACTGGGAAGGAGAAATGTGCATCCTTTTGCAGATCACAAGGGTTCTTGAGCTGCTTTTGCTGCAAAAGCCACTGATGTCTGAATCTTACAAATAATTTCAAAAAGAGTTTCCTAAAAATTATTCCTGGCCTAATGGTAAAGGACACAAGGCAATGGGGAGCCATTTGACGGCTCACTGCTCCTCCCTTCCTCTTTTGTTCTCCTTGCTCTGGCTACTGTTCATCCATATCCCTTGCCAGAGTTTTTCCCAAGCTGATTTGTATCATGTAAGATTGCAAAAAATTGTTTGAAAATTAGACTGCTTTAATTCACTAATGCAGAATGAAGAGATCAGTTTATAGTAAGTGTGAAGAGAACATCAGATGCAGAAGAAAAAATGTCACAGGAGTGCTACCAAAAATCTCAAGACGTAAAATGGAATTGAGAGCAAGGCATAAAATGAAATGAGAGAGCGTCCTCTTCCAGGGAGGAGGAGCCATTAGGCTGCCCATGCTGTCCAGAGACCATACTCCATCATCTTCCTCACTCTTCTACTCCTCCTTGGGTTGGCAGATACATTTAAAAAAAACTGTCAGCTTTGCAGACATATCACTTAATCCTTTGGTACACTAGACAAAAATTACTTCCCTATAAAAAGACATTAAGATCTGTCTTCACTCACCAAGTCAGGTATCAGTAACTGAAAGACACAAGTTTTGCTTGGGAGTCCAGTTTCTCTTTTTCCTGTTTCAGGAGGTGCTGTTTTGTATTGACTTTGTGGAAAAATGAGGCAGCATTCATTCAAAATAATGACTTGTCAGATAAATCTGAAATCACACCAACAGACCTCTCAGACCAACCTTTTGAGATTCCTACTTACACATTTTTGAACTTTGGTCATCCTGGAAATTTTGGAAAATCAAACCCAAGACACATTGCAGCTCCTGCTGGTGACCCTGCCATCATTAGCTCTTGCACTGCTGTCTGTCAAAAGACAAGAGGCATATAAAGACATCAGATAAACAAGGTTTTCAGCTTACCAGATGTCCATTCTATGTGCCCAATTCCAAATTCCAAAACTTTCTCTTTTTTTTTGGCAATTTGTTTGTAATTTAAGTGAGATCTTTCTTTTTGTGAGCTGA